TGGATGCAGTCTCACTTAAGATAACCAACGTCAAACGAGGGCTCCACCTCAGACTGCCAGGCTCACACCAACACAAGCATGAACCTTACCAGTTACGACAGGAAACAGAACAAAGGTTATAAGCGCCACTGAGGCTCAAGGTACCAAAAACAAAACCAGAAAGGAACAGAGACACCTACACACACTAAGAACACATCACCTGCGACTGCCTTTCTCTGTATTAGTCACATCCATCACCAGAATAAGAGATCCAGCGAAGGACCAATGTTTAGCAATACGTCTGTTGTTTTCAACGTCATTACGTTGTGTGGAAAAGCAGAGTGAGAACCTGAGCCTTAGTCTGGAATTCATACGCAGCCATGCGTACGCACTCATGACTGCTTCACCTGACAAGTTCCTACTCCACCTCTGCTCACAAACCAGAAGCTATTTTTCACATACACCTCTGGGCAACATGATTCACCACGCGACTTCTCAAGATTAACTCAAGTATGAAAACACAACACATTCACCTTTAATAAAGCATATGTGGGCGTCCACACAAATTCTAGGTTATTTTTCCCATCAGTGCAAGAAGGCGGCAATGGACTAGATAAATAACAAACAAAAGAAATGACTTTAAGAAACATCTCATGAAGCAAAGTGGTCAACCACCTCACATAGTTGCTGCATTTCTTTAAGAATCTAAAAGACAATTTCACTTAAGTTTTAAAAAAGCATATATCCTGTGTTTTGTCAGGAATAAAGGTAAACACAAAGGAAGCCACATTCAAATTCTTTCCACAAAATATTTATTGAGCACTGACCATGTGACAGACAAGCATTAGAAGAATAATGCTTAAAAAAATAAAACCCTAAGCTCTTTCCTTCAGGTAATCAGGGAGGGAGACCAACAAACCCACAGCCATAAGGACAAAATTGGGGTAAGCTAAACAAAAACACACCCAGGGGATCTTGGATAACCAGAGAAGCCCTCTTCTAGGAGGTAATGAGAAGTAAAAATCAGCTACCAGCACTCTGTCATAATAAATAATTAGAAATCCCTAAAAGAAATAAAGCCTTAACATGAAGAATAAGAAAAGAACAGGACTAAAAAGCTTTGAGAAGCTTTTATTATGAGCTATAGTTTTCCAGAGTAATCAAGATATTAATTCGGCTTAGCATCAATCTGCCGGTGGTAAAACGTCAACGGTAAGTTTAGATCACCAACTCTCATTTTAAAATTCCAAAAGAATCTAGGATCCAAGTGACGATGGGTAAAAATGGACAAGGATAACATACAACTTGCTTTCCCTTTGGAAGCCCCTCCCTCACACACAAATGAGAATATGAAAGAAAAAGCAAACTTAACCAGGTTGATTTTAAACATATTCTAATTTTCTTAAAAAGCGAATGTAATCCAACAAGCCAAGTTTATCAACTTGCTAAATAGAGAAACCACAGAATTATGAGCGGTTATCAAGGCCGCCAGAAACCACCAATCAGAGATTACGGAGTTACAAAAGTTGAGAACAGATGCTCATCACTGTCTCCCTCTGAAAAAGCAAACAAAAGAAAATAAACCACAACTATACTCTCCTACACACACATAAAAAGATCATCCAGATATCTAAACATAAGGCATAAATCGTATTCCGACAGAGGAAATTCTGCAGTAACTTTGCTCAACGCTTACTGAACACAATAAAAGCCAGTACAATGCTTATGTTCCTGTAGAAAGCTACTAAGTAGGATTTGTGATGGCCAGAGTAGAAATTTACATGAGATGGTAAAAATCTTCAGACACAGGTTTTGATAAAGCAAATTAAAACTGCTGGTCTTGAAAGACTGGTTTAGAGAATTATTAACATGAAATAAGTTTATCTACATCATAATGAAAGAGACAACATGATAAGTGTGAGGTTTAACTTCCTAGACCAGAATAACTCAGTAGTGTGCAAAGGTTCTCGAGAAAAGAAAAAAGTGTGAACCAGGACTAGATAAAGAAAAAACTAAGAAAAATAACATATGGACATTTTAAAAAACCAATTTATTTCATTATGAAAAGCTTTCTCACACAATCCTGGAGAATCATTTCTAGAAATAGAAATGTTCAGGTATAAGTGGGGAGGAAAAAGCTACTAAATGAAATACACAATCATTTTCAAAAACAGTCCTTCAACTTTGGCTTTGCCTCAACACAGGCCCACAGCAACTTTTCACCTGCAGAATAACGATGAAAAAAGTAGCTCTCCAAATGACAGGCCAGTTTTACTTTAATAACTACTTATATCTCTAAGAAAATAGAGGGAAAAAGCTCCAACTGAGCACTTACAAACAGAATTTAATGAAATCAATTAACTATAATCTGCTTCTGATTCCAGATTTTTTAAATGCCAACTCAATTTAAAATCTCTAAGAGTAAACTGAATTATCTATTGCCAACTGAAAAAAAATCCTCCTTTTCTCAACCAGACTTGGGAAATCTCTCAAAAAAAGCAATGATAAATAAATCCATTCAAACAGAAAAAACAACTGTGCACCAAGATAATTTTTTACACCTGAATTTTTTTAACCGGAGATAAGAAAAATGAACGCATTATTCTGAAAGATGACACAATCCTGGAAGCTGAACTACTACAGTCACCTTTCCAAAGACGCACGACGAAGTCTATGAATGAACACAACTACACAGTATTAATCTGCTGCCTAGCCTCCAACTCACAGAATCATCAGAGAAGAGGAGCTGTGAATGGCTGGTAACTTAACATGTCAGTATTCAAATCCACAACCTGAACCTGATAACACAGCAGCATTCATCTAAGGATTAAGATGAACAGCTCCACCCAGAACACAGAAAACAAGAAGTCCTTCCGAACAGGCAAAATCAAGAAGTTGAAATAGTAAAAGTCGACTTGACTCAAAAATATAAACTGACGTTAAATGATACGAAAAACGATTAAATTTCATGAGAATGTTCAAATTTGCCCAACATGATTGGTACCCAAAGCTGGTATTTTAGCAAAATAATACTAACTTTGAATTACCTATTAGAACAGATCAAAAATAGATGCAACTACACTAATTCCCCAAGAGGGCACAAATCGCGTGTCAGGTGTATTTCATGCTGCCGGAGTCTGCGCAACAGCCCGGACTGAGGAATGAACCACGGTGCCAAGCGCGCGCTGCGGGGACACGACCCACAGGTCCGGTCCCCCTGACTTTCACCTCCACTCTCTGCTCCTATTCCAACCGACGGGACTCAAATCCATTTTCAAAAAGCTGCTGGGAACTCTTTCAGCAGCTTGGCTATAAACAACTTCCATTGTCCCAGGCCGAGGGCAAGTGTGATTTCCTCCTTTGCTCTGGAGCACGCCCAGGACTGGCCACCCCAGGCCAGGCCATGCCGGCGGGCCCGGGGACACCGAGCCACCCTGCCCTGCCCTCCCCCTCCCCCTCCCCCTCCCCCTGCTGTCCCCTCTCCCTCCCTGGCCATGCCCGCCCCCTCCCCCATCCTGTCCCCTCCCCTCCCCCCTCCCCTCCCCCCTCCTCCCCGGCCTGCCCGCCCCCCCCCTCCTGTCCCTCCCCTCCCAGAACCTGTCCCCTCTCCCTCCCCGGCCATGCCGCCCTCCCCACCCTGTCCCCTCCCCTCCCAGAACCTGTCCCCTCTCCCTCCCCGGCCATGCCCGCCCCCTCCCCATCCCTTCCCCTCCCTGGCCCTGCCCTGCCCGCCCCTCCCAATCCTGTTCCCTCCCTCCCCTCCCCGAACCTGTCCCTCTCCCTCTCTGGCCATGCCACCCCTCCCCATCCTGTCCCCTCCCAGCCCTGCCCTGCCCCGCCCCTCGCCGACCCTGTCCCCTCCCCGGCCCTGCCCGCCCCGCGGACGCCCGTCGCGCCGGCCGGGGGAGGGGCGCCCTCGCTCCCACCTGAGCCGCAGTAGCGAATGGGAGGAAAGCTCCTTTGCCCCGAGTTCAATTCCGGGCTGCGTTATCAGCAGATCCGCACCAGGACCACAACTTTCCTGCTATTTACCCTACACTCGCGGTTGCCAACCTCCAAGTTCTCAAAACCCACTGAAGCCAAACGCCGCCCGTCACATGCTCGCTCGGATGACAAAGGTCCGCGCAACCACAGTCAGGAGCGCCGCGGGCCCCGCCGCAGTCCGCGCGGACACCGCGACAAGCGCCCGCCTCCCGCCCGCCGCAGACCCCTGTTCGGGCCCAAGACTCTCACCCCAGCCCCGGCCCGAGACCCCCTCCCTCGGCCCGCGACCCTCACCCCAAGCCCGGGACCCCCTACCTGGCACGAGACCCCCCAGCCTGCGCCCGAAGCCCCCTCCCTCAGCCCGAGATCCCCTCCCCCCGCCCGAGACCCTCACCCCGGGCCCGCGACCCTCACCCCGGGCCCGAGGACCCCTCCCGCCCGCGACACTCACCCCGGCCCCAGGACCCCTTCCCTCTGCCGAAGACCCTCACCCCGGGCCCAAGAACCCCTCCTTCGGCCCAAGACCCTCACCCCGGGCCCGAGGACCCCTCTCCCGGGCCTGAGACCCCCTCCCTCTGCCAGAGACCCTCACCCCGGGCCCGGAACTCCCTCCCTCGGCCCGAGACGACCCCCCTCGGCCCAAGACCCCACCGTAGGCCCGAGACCCCCTCCTCGGGCCCGAGACCCCTATCCCGGCTCAAGACCCTCCTCCCCCGCCCCGAGACACCCCTCCCGCGGCCCGAGAGCCCCCTCCTCCGGCCCAAGACCCCCTCCCCCGGCCCGAGACCCTCACCCCAGGCCCGAGACCCCCGCCCCCAGTCCGAGACCCTCCCCGGGCCCGCGATCCTGGCCCCAGCCGGCGTCGCTGGCCCGAGACCCCGCCCCGGCCCCGCCCCCGGCCCGGGACACAGGTGAGCGCGCTCCCCCGAGCCGGGCCCGCGCCGCCACCCCAGGTCGGGGGGCGCGCAGCGGGGGTCGGGGGGCGGGGTCCCCGCGGGGGAGGGGCCGGGAGGACGCCGGCCGGCCGCGGCGCTCACCTCGGTGGGCTGGCTGATCTCGAACAGGTCCAGCCGGTTGGCGTTCCAGTGGTGGATGATGTCGGCCAGCTTCCGCCGCTCCTCGTCGCGGCCGCCCGCCGACATCCTCCCGCCGCGTCCTCCGCCCGGGCCGCGCGGGGCCGGGGAGCGGAGCCGGGGACGCGGACGGGGACGCGGACGGGGGACGGCGACGGGCCGGCGGACCGCGTGCCCTCACGGTCCGCGCGCCGGCTGCCCGCGCTCTCGGCTCCTCGGCCCTCGCCCTCGGACCCTCGGCTCCGCCGCCCCGGAAGCCTCCGGCTCCTCGGCCTCGGCGGCCCGCGCCTCGCCGGCCGCCCCCGTCAGCCCCGCCGGCCGGTGTGCGCCCGGCGCCCGCACTCGCCGCCCCGCCCCGCCCGCCGTGCGCGCCCCCGCGCCGCGTGCCCGCCCCCGCGCCCGCGCCGCACCTCGGGCGGCCTCCGCTAGGTGCTGCTGCGCCCGCCCGCACCGGAGCCGGCGCGCCCCGCCCTCCTCGTCGCCGCCCGCCCGAGCGGGGGGCCGGGCCGGGGCGGGGCTCGGGCGCACCCGGCGCGGGGCTGACGGGCGGGGCGGGGCGCGGATGGGCAGTGCCGGGTTCGGACGGTGCTGGGTTCGAACGGTGCTGGGTTCGAACTCGGAGCGTTGCATTCGGACGGGCGGGGCTGGGTTCCGATGGGGCTGGGTTCGGAAGGGGCTGGGTTGGGGTGATGCTGGGCTCGAACCGGTGGTATTGCATTCCGGCGGGCGGGGCTGGGTTCGGAAGGGGCTGGGTTCAGACGGTGTTGGGTTCGGGAGATGCTGGGTTCCGATGGTGCTGGGCTCGATCCAGTGGTATTACATTCCGACGGGCGGGGCTGGGTTCGGAAGGTGCTGGGTTCCGACGGTGCTGGGCTCGAACCGGCTATGCTGGGCTCGATCCGGTGGTATTGCATTCCGACGGGCGGGGCTGGGTTCGGAAGGTTCTGGGTTGCGACGGTGCTGGGTTCGGACGGGAGGGGCTGGGTTCCGACGGTGCTGGGCTCGAACCCGCGTGGCTGGGCTCCTTGCGGTATTATTGCATTCCGACGGGCGGGGCTGGGTTCGGAAGGTGCTGGGTTCCGACGGTGCTGGCTTCCCTGGGGCGGTGTGGGCGGTAGAGGGCGGAGGGACCGAGAGCGCGGTGCAGACACCCTTTCTGCGCGTGACTGTCCAGCGATCGGCGAGTACTGACCACACAGAGGGCCTGCGTCCGCTCCTCTCACCCCGCCCCATCCCCCGGGATGTCCCCCCGGGTGTCCCCTGATTATTTATGATCCGTTCCAGGGCGACTCCCTTCTGTTGGGGTCGCATCAAAGCAGACCTTTGCAAGCTGCCTTCTTCCCAGAAGGATAAACTATGGTGCTCTGTGTGTGTATTTCCACGATAATGTTTTGAAACCCTCCCAGTGTTTCCAGAGGCCGCTCTCCTTCTGCTTTCCAGTGTCCTTTGATCCTGCACGCTGTCGTCCCCTAGTCTCATGCAGCGTGAAGTCGCAGTGTCCGACTCCCTTTGTGTCTCTGCTCAGAAGACACGTCTTCTCCCAGACAGATTGTCTCTGCGGACGCTCCACAGACATAGATAAGGGACCACAGAGTTGGCATAATAAATAAAAGCGGAGAGGAGAGTCATTTGATGTACCTCCTTTGGCACAGGGCAATGCTATGTGAACACAGTGTTAGCGCCTCTAAGTGTCCCTGTGGATGTGGAGACCTAATGATGGCAATGGCAAGTTTTGTCAATTTTAGAGATGCTTGTTTCATTAGGTGTTTTCTCTTTAATTGCCCCCTTCCCCAGGCCTCCCGCCCCCCCCCCTGCCAAAAAAAAGAAAAAATTGGCTGCAGAACACATTTCACATTTCAACAGACTTCTTTCCACCAAAGGTGGTTTCTTACAGTGTCTGTGATGTAACAGAAAGGCTTCATCTTTAAAATACCAAAGCTAAGTCGTGAAAATAGGGAGCTCCAACAACGCCCCTTTATTTTTGTCATTACTTTGTTTTTTCCAGTGTGGAAGATCATTTTTCTCTCCACCAGTTGGAGTTCTTCTTTTGTGGGGAAGAAGAGAATCCTGCCATCTCTGCTGGGTTTTGTCTTCAGCCCTCCTTTCTACTGCAGCAGTGCAGTGCAGCCACATAAGGAGGCTTTTCAGCCCAGCAGCCTGAGGTGTTGAACCCATGCCACGGAGGGATGAATTCTTCAATAGATCTCTAGTCCTCTTCCTCAAAATTAAAGTGTGGTGGCTTGCAGAAAAGCATATGTGTATAAATGGCGTCTTCATGTTCTAGCATTCTGTTCCTTTATGCTTGAAGTTCCCATGCTCCTTTATAGACTCAAGTTGTCTTTTGTTTTTTTGTTTTGTGTATGTGTGTGTGTGTGTGTGTGTGTGTGTGTGTGGTGAGCATCACGGTGTCAAGACAGCTCGGGACTGTCTAGCTAGGTTCCACACATGCCATGCGGGTTATCAGCCGTAGTGTCAGCTGAATGCTAACAGTAAGAGCTTTATTCCTGATGATGCTGTTACCAAGAATGACTTGGCTCTTAGAGTAAAGAATTAGTTTGCAAAGCTGCCAATTCGATTGCTGGATGTGCAAAGTAAGTACACGTAGTATTGCTAAAGAGAAAATTCTGTGTGGCTAGAAAATAAGTATGGCCTCCCCACAGTGTTATTTTTATAATAAAAAATGTGAATATGTGAAATACCTACAGTATGATGCCAGGCACGTAGAAGGTTCTAAACCAATGTTAATTATTCTTGTTTTTCTGACTCTCATTAAAAATTCCTATTTGTGTTATATGTGAATGGTATATTAATATCCAACCTACAATTCACAGTAGGTCCCAGCCAGCATTAGTTTACTAACAAGGGTTTAAAAGCAACCTGAAATCCATAGAAAACTTAGGATTCTTAAATCGTGATGACTCTCAGAACTGGTATATATTCAGGCCATGAAAATTCTCAGCTGACAGATTCTTGCATTAATTGTCATTGTTCAAGACCCCAACATAATCTGTTGAGCCATATGCTAATTTTGATACCACATTGTAGGAATAAGAAATAGACGTGATACCCATCTTCTATTCTCAATGTACTGCTGAGTTCTGATACACTTAAGAAGTCAGATTTAAGTGCTGTTCAAGAAATGCTGTATAAAAATAAAATCATGTGGAATTTATTATTAACCCTACCTTACAGACAGAGAAACTGAGATGTGAGATGAAAGACGAAACTGAAGCGAAACAAGGCAGCATTGGGTGAGGTTGAAAAAGAATAATTTTTAATCTATAAATTTATATTAACATTTTATTTTCTTTTTAAAAAGTATTTTATTTTTATTTACACTATTAATAAAAGAAAAAGCTCCTATTCAAATTAGCACTTATCTACAAATATTTATAAATATCTGTGTCTAAAACTTAAATCTATGTAAAACCTTAAGCTATAGTGTAATGGAAATAAATAACATTGGAACAAATAAATAATGATATTCTAAAATTTCTGGTTAAGCCTTGAACGTTTTTAATTTTTTTTTTTTTTTGAACTAGAGTGAAAACCAGGTTGTAAGACCAACCAAATTTAATAAACCTATTCACAGGTTCTGGAAAATAGAAAATGCCAGGAAAAAGACTAGAAGCTTAATCCATCTCAGAAGAACAAATGATACAAATATGTCAACTATAGTTAATGCCCTATAGGTCATTTAATTTTCTAACCACCAATAAATTTTATATTTCAGTAAATTAGTCAAATCTGGAAATATTTCAATCCTGTAATTGTATAAATCATCTTACAAGCCATTTTACTAGATATCAATTCAAAGAATGGTCTTTAAATAAAAATTAAAGAGGTATAATAAAGACACATTTCTAGGGTTGACTACCTTCCACAGTGGCCTATGCATGTGGTAGTTTATCTAGTTTGTTAAGTTAGAAAGTTAAATAACCAAATTCTTCTTTGGCCTAACCCATGGCTGCAAAGGTCAGTGTTGTTAATTTAGTTTAAAAAAAAGAGAGAGAGAGAAAAAGAAATCCCAGAGGATTAAGTCTCCAGAAGTAGGTAGGGTTTGTGCTCCTTCACTGGATAAATGGAGAAATGTATCTCTAACCTCTGCTTTCTTCATTATCTTCCCATGTTCCTGGTATTTAGTTAAATTTTAGGTCACCTAATAGAATTTTCAGGGAACAAGTTTTCAGAGAGAAAGTGGAGATATAAAAAGCCCTTAAGATAGGAATTTAATCTAACTTGTTTAAAAAAAAAATCAATCTTACCAACTCAGAAAGACATCTGTGGTTAAATGTGTTCTCTAGCGTTTTATAACCTAAGATAACGCTGCAAAAAAAACCCCCACAAAAAGCCAAATCTTAAATAGATAGTTAAGATATTAACACTGAATGCAAAGAAAATAGACCATGTGTGTGTGTATGTGTGTTGTGTGTGTGTTTAAGGTGTTGGACGGAAAATTATAGCGTGTGAACGTTGGTGACTTACCTTTTAATGTGTTGGAGAATTGCTCTATGTTACCTGGTTTTTATCTAAGGCCCCTCGATATCCAGGACCTGCCTTATTGTTTTCTGATTCTAGCTCCCACTCCCAGCACTGAACACAGCACAGTGCTTTGCACATGATGGGTGTTTGATAGAGAATCATCAACTGGATGAAGATGGTGTGCCCCCCTAGCAAAGGCTTCGTGGCTGCTGGCCCACTCCCAGCAGGCTGTCACTCAGGAGAGTGATCTTTACAAGGGGAGAGATTGCCCAGTGTGGAGGCCTTGGAAGTCTCCCAGCCAGCCTTTCACCTTTTCTCTTGATAATGAAAGGCATAGTCCCAAACAATGGGGCTGGAAGAAGAAAGCCTGTCTGCCTCATTCCTAAACTGGGCAGCTTTACTAAGACTCCATCAAGTGGCTATCACTGATACAACAAAGGCAACAGGAAGGTAGGAGACATTATGAAAACTAGGTTCTAAAATGAACTAAATGTAATAACCCTGACTCCTGCCCCAATTTTCACAGGCTCTGGAAAATAGAATTGATCGGGAATAACATTAGGAACTTAATAGACCTAGGAAGAAGAAATGGCACAAACACATCAACTGTTATTCTCTATGTTTCATGCCCTTTTCTGCTGGGAAAAAGGTATTATATATGTATATAAGTATATATACACATAAATATGTCGTTCATGGGAAACCCAAAAGGGGACTATCCCAGGACTTCCCACAAGCCAACTGGCTTCTTTACCCACTAGCATCTCAGGAAATCAAAAATACCAGATTACAGGTGTTTGCTTTTGGAAATGCAGTGCAACTTGAACCTTTTAAAAAGTGCTGGCATTTGCAATACTTCCATGAGAAGTGAAAACCTTGGCC